AACTTAAAAGCCGTGGATGAACTCTTGGCACAATGTCGTCGGCCATCAAGCATGAATCGGGCATCGAGCGTTGCGAGTATCAAATACTATGGAATTTATACTATCGCGCCTCTTGCGCGGGCGTGGCGCTTCAGGAGTATTACTTAATATCTATACCGAACTATGCTAAAAATTTTATCATTGTAACTAGGGAATATAATCCGAACCTCCCGCTCAATCCCTTGGGGAAAATAGCGTGATGCTATGAATATTGGACATAGTGTCAGCGTAAGGCTGTACGGTGGCTTAAGTAAGGTTATACATTTATTTTGGTTAATAAATGGATACTTAGTTAGGTTCATAATGGCTTAAAGAGGATATTCTCAAGATTTTTTATTTTTAATATACTACAGTTTTAATGTAATAAAATCTGTCTCTATTTTTATCTAAACTTTTGAAAGTTAAACTTTTGAAGTCTTATTATAACAATACGAGGGCGACACTGAAACTTTTTAGAACCGGCCACTTGTAAACGACATATTAAAAAATAAGTCCAAATTTTGAAAACGGAACTCTCCTAATATTATTACACGTATACATACACGTATTTTATTAATTTGTCATTTATTTACGATTTCGCGGCAAATTGAAAATTGTCTGTGTCACATCAGCAAGAATTTAACGCGAAAAATTTTTGTACATTGATTTTTTATGACTTTCGATGCCGTTTAAATCAACAAGAAAGTTGTGATTCTGTGTGAGACTTCGATTGGCCTTTCACGACGAAGCCCTATTTCGTGCCACTGTTTACAACTGGTTTAATGAGTTTAAATGTAGTCGCACTGATATTACCGATGCTCTGCGTGAGGGACGGCCTTCTATGGCGACGACTGAAGATAACATCAGTGTTGTGCGGCGTATGATAGAGACTGACAAAATAGTGACTTATCAGCAGATTCGAAAAAGCTTAGGTATCTGTATGAGTCAAGTGCACAAAATACTCCATGAACATTTAGCGGTCAGGAAGCTTTGTGCCCGGTGGATACCTTATAATTTGACAGAGGCCCAAAAACTCCGTCGTATTGATTGGTGTCGGGCAATGGTTCAAAGATTTAACGGAAGTGACTCAAATGCTGTTTTCGACATACTTACGGGTGACGAAAGCTGGATTTATTGTTATGTTCCTGAAACTAAGAGACAGTCTGCTATCTGGGTGTTTCCTTCCGAGGTGTTGCCAACTAAAGTAAAGAGAGGTCGACGAGTGGGAAAAAAGATGGTGGCCTCGTGCTTCGGAAGGACAGGTCATTACGCAACAATTGTTTGAGAGGATCGATAAACAGTTACTGCAGAGTGGTACACTAACAATTGTTTTCCACTTGTCTTGGAAAAAGTTCGAGAGAAACGACCTCGCAGTAGGACAACGCCTCGTCGCACACCATGACAACGCCCCGTCGCACACCGCCAAGCAAACATTCGACTACTTGGTGACGTCAGACATGGAATTACTGGTCACCCGCCCCATATCCCCAACCCCACACAACCTTGCGATTTTTATTTATTTCCGAAAATAAAAGAAAAACTTCAAGGATAATGTTTTATGAACGCCGAGGAAGCAGTGGCTGCATTTCAAAATGCCGTCGATGAGACCCCTAAGGACGAGTGGGCAAAATGCTTTTTGCAGTGGTTCCATCAGGTGCAGCGATGTATTGATGTAAATGGACACTATTTTGAAAAGATATAATAAAACTAATAATTTGCTAGTTTGTTCAGTTTTTAATTTTCTAAGAACTTTTAGTGTCACCCTCGTCTATTATACTTACTGATACAAATTATGTAGAAATTACTCCTTTTAATAAAATTGTTTTTATTCTACTTATTATTTTATACTTCTTAAGAAAATGTTTGCTGCAAATTGTTGAGTTCTTTTTTGGATTCCAACCAGCCCGTCCAATTAACCTTAACCATTTTTTCGAATTATAGAGTCCAGCATGGCTAGCATGGGCTAGGGACAAAAATGTATTTCCTAATTATATCCACTGACAAGAGATAAAATTATCTTGTCCTTATGCCAAAGCACGGCAACGAGGCGAAGTGTATCCCCGTTTGACATAACGAGTAGACATATATCCCCAGTCCGTAGCATGGGGCCAAATGAAAGATAAAATATGCTTTTTTGACATTTGAAAGGGACAGTTATATCCTAATTCATTGGACGTGAGTTAAAGTTTATATTCATACAAAAAATCGATCTAAGTCTAAGACAATCTCCCATTTTATCTACTGTGGATATTATTTATATCCACCGGTGTGCCCATGCTCGAAGGGTGGATAAAAATAAGCGACAACATTTTCTCCGTTCCTCGGGAATAAATTTGTCTCCTGCCCATGCTAGCCCTGCTGAGGAAATCTGTTTAACAAACGGCAAAATTAATTATTTTAGAACGCAAACCGAGGATTTATTTTCTTGTTGTGTGGTGGGCAAGTCTATCAATTCATTATAAACATTCAAGATAAATATCGACATTAATTTTGATATAGTTTAGTCAATAGCTAGCGTACATGTAAAATATTTTGTATAAAAATGTATACTTTTTTCTGTGCAGAATATCAAAATTAACAAAATAATTAAAAGCATTCTATATCTTAAACAGTATATAATATAAATGTTAACCAACAATAAACGCGTCATAACGTTGACTTGAGAATTTACCTGTGAAATGTACAAATATCAGGATTATTTCTATTATTAACACCACAGTCACTAGCAGAAGAAGTAACCATTTTAGAAAAATGTTACTAAAAATAATCACTGTTACACTCTAAAACATTTCAAAGTATCTAGGAGCTGTATCTTGCGTGTCACTTGTGCCGACCTGTCATTCAAAATCGGTTACATAGTCATGAGATTTGGTATCCTTTTCTATCTTGCATTTTTGTCATAAGGAATTTTCTTCTCCCTTGCACGGTCACTTGTCGGTCTATACGCCAGTATATTCTAAGTCTATGGCTATAACTCTAGTTATGGAGCTGGAAAATAATAATGAATGATTTATTAAACAATGTGCTATTTCCGCAATATATGAAATCATGTCTCATATCTAATTGTAACTGAGATGAAAATACAAAAAAACTATTTTTTTTTAATTTTAGTGCCTCGACCACTTGCTATCACGCTAATAACAAAAATAATAACAATAGGTGGATAGCTACTCACTAAGTTTACTATGTTTGGTTACTTCTTCCCGTTCTGTATTACGTATTGTAGTATTGCAATATTCAACATATTTAATAAATACATTTGTATCGCCTTACTAAATCTCCCATTATGACCATAAAATGCGTGCACTGTGCAAATGTCTATTTGTTTTTGACGTACTAGGAGTAAGATCTAGGAACACACTAGTCGTATGCGTGGGATTGCGTGCGAACATTCACCTTCCCACGCCGATCTGGACATCGCATGTCGTTTTTGCCACGGAAGCGTGTGATTGCGTTGCATATGATATTGTTTTAATACATAGTTTTTGTACAAAATTAAGTGTCCAGATGTCATAACGCGTTGCATTCGTTGCGTACATGGTACGTCTCTCTCTACTTTAATACCTACCTACTATTTTTTGGCTTAAAGCCTTGTAATCGATGCCACACATGTGAAAATAGAACATAGACCTAGTTATTTTCTATGATAGTGTTGTGCCCTTTGATCTAAAGGTTTTGCCGAAAATGCTAGTTTTGGTAATCGAACACTTTAGTACTCGTTAAATAATCGAGTCATATATACATTAACTTATGCAATAGTTGTAAGGTGAAATTGTTAAATGTTAATAATCTAAATACTAATGTTGTTATAATATGTTACAAAGATGGAAAAGACCATAAGGATTTTTTATATTTATGGTAAGATACATTTATCTCTGCTGGCCGTATGAGGAAGCTCAAGGTCGCTCAGCGAGCTATGGAGAGGGCAATGCTCAGGGTTTCTCTGCGTGATAAACTTAGAAATGAGGATATCCGCAGTAAAACCAGGGTGACTGCCATAGCCCAACTGATTAGTAAGCTGAAGTGGCAATGGGCCGGCCATATAGCTCTAAGAACCGACAACCGATGGAGAAAAAAGGTTCTCGAGTGGCAGCCTCGTACCTGTAGACGAGGTGTAAAATGACCCCCCCCCCCCTCTAGATGGAGTAACGACCTGGTAAGATATCCGGAAAGTCGATAGATGCGGGTGGCTCAGGAATGTGCTTTCTGGCATTCCAGTGGCATGTGGCAGTCCAATGTTCAGCAGTGGAATTGTGAAGGGCTGTAATGATGATGATGATGATGATGATAATGACATCTATAAGATTCTATTAGCTTAGCAACAATTTCGTATCTATAAGATACGCAATTTTAGCTCGTATATTTGTTAATGTGGGTTCTACATAACTTATCAACACTTACGAAACTATTGATTTGTCGAGTGCATTAATAAATGACAGCAGCATCACGTAAGGTACTTCACTCTTGATGATGTAAAATATTGACGAGACTATTGATTCGTCGGGTGCATTAATAAATGACAGCAGCATCACGTAAGGTACTTCGCTGTTGATGATGTAAAATATTGCTAGAATTACTTGTAGCTTATCAGTTATCACATACGGTTTATCCATTTTATTCAATCATCAATTACTAAACATTTATATAATACTACTGCATCAGCTAGTATACAATTACAAAAAAAAAAACAAGAAACCTGTATTTCTCGGATGGTATAGAACTTACTATATTTTTATAAAGTATACAAACAATTACAAAGTCGCGAGTTGATTATTCAGTTCAGTGTACGATTACTATGCACATTCGACTCGAAATCTTTACTCGAATGTACAATGACTTCAAGAACCCGAGTCAACCCGACTCGTCTCGTCACTAATGCATTAATCTATGTCTATGATGTCTATGGCTTATCATGGCATGGCTTCTTCAATGAAGTGTGTTGCGCGGTATTGCGTGATTCAATTAATTTTGTGTGTTTTAATATGGCGAAAGGTGATAAAGAACTAGAAAAACCTATAGTGAATAATGAATTACCAAATCCAGAATGTCGAAGTACAGATCCTGAGGATTCAGAATCAGCGCAGGAACAGCCTTTAGATATTGGGGAGCATTATTTAGTGCGGCGTTCCGATGAGTCATGGCACCCGGCGGAGATAATACAAACGCGGTACAATGCCGCTGATTCTTGCTATGAGTATTATGTACACTATGTGGGCTATGATCGACGTCTTGACGAGTGGGTTTCCCGCCATCGGGTTATGTCCGATAGGTTTGACGTGTGTGAACAATCTAATAACAATATAAATTCAGATCATCTTCTTACCGACAAATCAGGACGTAAAATAACACGCAATCAAAAACGTAAACATGATGAAATCAATCACGTACAAAAGTCATACGCCGAAATGGATCCGACAACAGCAGCTCTGGAGAAAGAGCATGAAGCAATTACAAAAGTTAAATACATAGATCGGATTCAGATAGGTAAATATGAAATAGACACTTGGTACTTCAGTCCGTACCCTGACGAATACGGTAAACAATCCAAACTATGGATATGTGAATATTGCCTAAAATATATGAGAATGGAGAAGACTTACAGATATCACCTAAGTGAATGTACAGCTAGACAACCACAGGGAAGTGAGATTTACAGAAAAGGAACAATAGCAATTTTTGAAGCAGATGGTAAAGAACACAAAATTTACTGTCAAAACTTGTGCTTACTAGCGAAGTTGTTTTTGGATCACAAAACATTATATTTTGATATAGAGCAATTCCTTTTTTATATACTATGTGAAGTAGATAAACATGGAGCTCATCTTGTGGGTTACTTTTCAAAGGAAAAGGATTCACCAGAAGGAAACAATGTAGCCTGTATACTAACTTTACCACCTTACCAAAGACAGGGTTATGGAAAACTTTTAATTGCTTTCAGTTATGAATTGTCAAGGTTAGAACAAGTAGTTGGCAGTCCCGAGAAACCATTATCTGATTTGGGTAAACTTAGTTACAGGTCATATTGGTCTTACGTACTGTTGGAAGTATTAAGTGCAAGTAGAGGCACTTTAAGTATCAAAGATCTAAGTCAAATGACAGGTATATCACAAACCGATATAATATCAACCTTACAGTCCATGAATATGGTAAAATATTGGAAGGGACAGCATGTAATCTGTGTCACTCCAAAGATAGTTGCTGAACAACTGGCTAGTTCTCATTTCAAGAAACCGAGGTTGTCAGTAGATCCCTCCGCCTTAAGATGGACCCCACCAAACAAACAAGGAAATTCAGCTAAAGCTAAGAAGTAGTACAGGCTTACAGGCAGGGCTTAGAGAATGATAGAAAATATGTTGTGTCTAAAAGACTTTCTCTAGGTGCAGGCCTGTTCATTTTGATACATCTAGCTTTATAATTGTAATTATCTCTTTGCTTATAAATGCAGTGATCACTGTAGAGTATTACAACTAAAATGTGTTTAAAAATAATTTATATTACAAATAAGAGATCAAGATGTAATTTTTCACTGCATTCAATTAATATTCAATTTAGTATTATAAAAAGATCCCAGTGAAGAAATGATGAATGTTATGTTATTGATTTATAAAAATAGCAAAATAAAGAGTGTATGTAATGTTTATGAAGATCAAAAGAATATTTTTGATTGTTTACTATGGATGTGATTGTGATTGAAATTCTCGAGTGTTTGACATCAATTGAAAATACTGCATTATCATTTGTTAGATGCATAATTTGTACAATTTTAAGAAAACCAGAGGCATTTGATAGTGTAATTAGTTCATAAATGCTTTGAAATAGTAGTAACTATGACTTCCACAAGCTATAGGTTTTATATTGTTTGCATTTTGTTAGAATTCTTGAAATTTATAATTATATTTGGATTTTCTGCTTATCCAGTATTTTTGAAAATTTGTCATGTTAAAATTATGTCTTTGTAGCTATTAAAGATCTGTGTACAACTAATCCATTCAGTTACTTTTCATACTGGTGTAGTGATACTAATTTTAAGTTTGGTTTAATTTTTAATCTCATTAATTTCTTTTCCATTATTGACTATGGAGTATGCTTAGTCTAAGTGCAATTGACATTGGTATATCACCAATATTAAAATAAAGTCATATGTAAACTACATATTTACAGGCTGTGAGGCATTCCAATTTCAGAGGTGAAAATGCATCTGTAGGCTTTGTATGAAGTTTGCTGGAGGTTTCCAAGAACTGCAGTAGCCAATTACCATCAGGTAGACTACTAGTTTGTTTGTCATTTCAGTTTTATAAAAGAAATATAAACATCAAAATTGCCTTTAATTAGCTTGTCTAAATAACTTTTTAAATTAATTTAATATTACCATTGGATAGATTTCTCATTTTAAAACAGCTATTAATAAAATAACTGATTGGACAAGTTTATAGTAAAATTGTACTATAAATTTGACGCCTGGTGACTATTAGGTAAAATAACACCAACCAAATAGAAACTTAATGCTCTTAATTTTTTTTATATTGCATCATTTTCTTTGATATAAGCAGTTAAGAGTAGAATTAATAGCAAAGCTATTTTTGAAATTCTACCATATTGAACAATGTTCTCAAATTTTAGTTTAGGCTTTCTGTGTTTTAATGTTTATGTTTACTTAAGATATGTATTAGAAGTATGGGTCTTGATTTTATAGCAATGCCTACTACATCGCGAAGAAGAATTTTTTTATTGCATTGCCATGTTTTATTAGATTCTGTGAATCGTTGGTTTTCACTGTTTATTTGTGATAATTCATTAGATATAAGAAAAAGTGTCGAAGTTCAGAATAAAAGAAAGCAGAACAATGCAATTGTGTTATTTTTACCCTTTTTTAATGTTAGTTATATAATTTACTAGGTGCTGATTTCTTACATGCTCGGCATTGAACAAAAACATCAACAACAATGAAACAGTTGAAAGCAGACCTGTGCCAAACAGTGGGACCAGAATCGTCGTCTACTTTAAAAAATCTAATATATCATATTATGCTGCAATTTGTAAAATGCTCACAATTTGACGGCTCTGTGGCGCAGTGGCTTAGCAATGAGTTGCAGCGCTGGGCGCCGCGGATTCAAATTCGGCACGGGTCTGGATGTTTGTCATAAACATCAAAAAGATACAAGAGAAATTCTTAGTATGGAGTTAACATTTTAATAAAAATGATAATATAAAAAGTACCTAAACAAAAATTTCTTACCTACTCAGAAGACCAGGCTCAGAAGTTAGAGAATAAAGTACAAAATACAAGAAAGTAGCACTGGCTTAAAAAAGTATTTTTTTTTTAACCATTCTTAACCCAGTGCTTTGCTACTTATTCCACCTGATGATAGTGATGCAGTCGAAAATGGTAAAATAACAGCTTATTATTGCCGTTTTTCGTATAGTGAGCGTAGAGAACCAAACTTGGAAACGAGGCATTGTGTTGTATGACGAGCGGTTGTGTTGTGTGATAAAAAGAACCCCTTTGTCGTATCTCCTCAGTTTCAAGGTACTCGCCTTGTTGCCTCAGCCAGTATCGGAATTCTTGGCGTCGACATATCGAGTAGCGTGCAGTTTCGTGGTCACTTGGAAGAAAAGGCCAAATTGGCCTCTAAAAAGCTTGGCGTGCTCAGCAGAGCGGGACAGTATTTCATGCTGGCTCAACGCCTGCAACTTTACAAGGCGCAGGTTCGGCCTCACATGGAATACTGTTCCCATCTCTGGGCTGGGGCTCCCCAGTGCCAGCTTCTTCCACTTGACCGCATCCAGCGCAGAGCGGCTCGAATCGTCGACGACCGAGTCCTTTCCGATCGGCTCGACTCATTGGCACTGCGAAGAGATGTTGCATCTCTTAGCATTTTCTTTCGCATTTACCATGGGGAGTGCTCTGAGGAATTGTTCGGATTAATCCCAGCCGCCAAATTTCACGAACGCCCATCGCGGCAGAACTCCCGATACCATCCACACCATCTGGATGATTGGCGGTCCACCACTGTGCGATTTAGAAGATGTTTTCTTCCTCGCACAACTTCCTTGTGGAATAGTTTACCACCAGCGATTTTTCCGGACCGATACGACTTAGGGACCTTCAAGAAAAGAGCCTACTCCTTTTTAAAAGGCCGGCAACGCATCTGCAATTCCCCTGGTGTTGCGGTTGTTCATGGGCGGCGGTAGTCACTTACCATCAGGTGAGCCGCATGCTCGTTTGCCCCCTCTCCTATAAAAAAAAAATTATTTTAAAATGAAGCCCATCGAAATAATAGCTATTTGGGAGGATTTAGAACAAGATCGAAGAAGGAAACGACGACATTGGGTACATCCTTTAAATACCTACTAAAATAATATCAATTAGCCAATTTCATTGTCTATGCAACTTTATGAGAGTATCCTAAAGCCGCTCTTACGCGACCAATAATACGCGACGCATTTTCCGTCAGATATGTACCGACCCTTAGCACGTATGGGGCGCCTCGACCGGGGAAGGATCACGCTCTCCCTAGAGCCCTAGACGATGTATACACATCTATGACACTCTATTTGGAATTTTTTCGATTTACTCAAAATTTGTTATAAATATAAAATGTATATATTTTTATAAAGCCCATTTATCAAACTAGACTTTAGAGTAAAACATTTTTTGCGTAAATAAATTTTTATTAAATAAAGACGAAAAGTGAAATAATGGTAAAACTAATGATAAATGTGTTTTGAAGAAAAAGTGAAAAATAAAGCGAAATTATTCCGTTTTTAGTAATTATACGAAAAATCGGTAGTCAGTAAATCCGTGACGTGAACAACGGTTTTTCATGCTTTGAATCAAGTTATCAAAGTCTTGCTGCGGGATTTTCCCAGATCCTGCTAAGATGCCAAAAATTTGCTCTTCAGTCGCAATGTTTCCAGGAAAATACTTTAAAGCCCTTTTTTGGAGCATGTTCCACTCGTGCTCTATGGGGTTTAGGTCTAGTGATTGCGCGGGCCAGTCTAAGACCGATACGCCGTACTACTGCAATCAGCTGGTCACCACTCGCGCCGTGTGCGGACGGGCGTTGTCGTGCACGAGCGTGAATTCTTGGCACATTTGTAGTCGATGGCGGTAGACTGTTGGTACTAGCACCCAGTTGCGGTATTTTTCAGCAGTCATGGTGTTTCTGATCCAAACGAGGTCTGTTCTTCCACCAACACGAATGCCCGTTCAAACTATAATTGTCCCGCCGTGGTATGGATGGAATTCCTGAGGGTGTTGCAGACGGTTCTCACGACCAGGAACTCGCCATACGCGTACTCTTAACGAATCGGTATGGAAACCGAATCGATACTGATGACAGTAAACAGCACTACAGACCACTGGTTATCTTCCCAGACCAAATGTTTACGAGCCCACCGTCATCTTCGTCCACGATTTGCTCGGCGTAGTGTTGGAGTACGAAGCGGTCTACGAGCATGAAGATTAGCTTCATGCAGCCTTCTCCTCACAGTTTGGTCACTCACCTGAGACATTAGGAATTGTGAGATATCAGGAAGCTACGGTACTATGGTGTCAAAAACACAGAGCTTAAACTTATTATTTTATATTTAAGTAATAGAATGTAGAAAGTTATTATCAATGGTAAAGGTTCTTCCGGGTCACCTGTACTTGGGTGTCCCTCAAGGCTCAATTCTCGGTTCATTCTTAGTTCTAGTGAATATTAATGACTTACCTACCCTTGTATGGGATAGTCGTGATATAGTATCATATTTTGCTGATGATACTTCCTTGATTTTTCAACTTAAACGTCAATCATTTAAATGTGACGAAGTGAATAATGTTATATCAAAATTAGTGCGTTAATAATCTACATTTAAACGGAAATAAAACTAAATGTATTAAATTTACAACATCGAATGTTAAAAATCTGAATACCAATGTGTGTTTTAAATGGGGAAGAACTGAGCCCTGTTGAATCTACTGTTTTTCTTGGCATCATTCTCGACGCAAAAGCTTGGCTTCAGTGGTGCCCCCATATATCCAAACTAGCAAGCAGACTAAGTTCTGCAGCGTATGCTGTAAAAATGATTAGAGATATCACTAGTGTCGAGACAGCTAGATTAGTTTATTTTAGTTGTTTTCATAGCATAATAAGTCATGGGATTATGCTATGCGGAAATGCGACTGATTTAGAAACTATTTTTGTTTTACAGAAGAGGGCTATAAGAGCTATTTACAACCTATTTTAAACCTAAAACTCAGAGTCCCTTAGAGAAAAATTTAAAGAAATAAATATATTAACTTTGGCCTCTCAGTATATTTACGAAA